AAATAATTTTAATTAAAACATTATATAAAATTATAATATATTAAATAAACTTAAATATCATTAACTATCTAATATTAGTCTATTATATTTTATTTTATTTTTTTCTTAGATAATATATAATTGAAAAAAATATAGTTAAAAGATGAAAACTATCATTAATAATATATTACAAATATATTGTAAAATGCAAATTTAGAAATTATCTGCATTTTTTAAATATTTTATATATTAAAAAATATATATATATATATATTTTTATTTATCAACTATTAAAAAAAGACGAATAATTTTTAATTTTGCATTTTACAATATAGCACTTTTGTATTTATAAAATAAATAAAAAATTTGATTTTATTTAAAATATTATTAATACTATAACTTTTTATTTAATACATTTATTAAATTTTTAAATTTGTTTATTAAACATATTATTTTTTTATAATTTACAATGTAATTGATTTAATTTTCTAAATCTAAAAAATTATTTAAAAAGAATATTACAAAACAATATTATATAAAATGTTCATAATTTAAACTATATAATAGTTTTAAATATAAATATGAAAAAAAATATTTATATATAATATAAAATCAAATTAAAAAAGCATCTAATACAAATTATTAAATTAAATAAAAAAAAATATTAAAAATTATAAATTAATTAAAATATTTTTATTTTAAAAAGCTTAATTAATATCTTCTTTATCTTAAAGTCTTTTAAGAAAAATTTCATATACCTAATTTTGATTATAAATTAGTTATAGAAATATAATGTAAAACTTTTATCTCAATTGTCAATTTTCTGAAATATTTACTATTTAAATATTTTTAACATCATTGCTTCAAAAGCAAAATTATTTTAGTATTACATTAATTAATTTTTTTTTGTATTTTAATAGTTGTAAGGAATAAATTTAGAAAGCCTTCAATAATAGATTTTTTTTTCTTCATAATATTTATAAAACCCAAAAATTAGTTAGGTATTATTTGTTAAAGCACAAATAACTTCTATTAATTTGAAAAGTGTCCTTAATCTTTGAATTCATTAATTAATTTAGCTCTGTATATTTCCCAAAATTCATATGCTAAGTTATATATATTAATTTTGTATATGTTAATAATCCATAATATTTTTATTTTCTTATTAAAAAAATTTTAAATGTAATTTTTTTAGTTAATTTTTAAATCTTGTCTGAATTATTGCTAAATCCGGAAACTACGAATCCTTATATAATACTCATCCAAATTATATATTTTTAATTCTTCTTTCCTGCTATTTTAACTAAAGCACAAGCGTAACATATTTAGAAATAGATGCACCTGACCTTCAACTAATAAGTAATTCATTTTTTATGGGTTTATATTATTTATATTAAAAATATAAATTATTATTGAAATTTTAGAAATACTTTTTTATTTATTAAATTATTTAGATATATAATATTTATTTATTTTTAGAAGTAATTGATAATATTAAATGATATTTTTTAATAAAAAATCAAATAAATATATTAAAATATTATAGACAAAAAATTATATAATATGCATGTATTTTTTATTTATCTTTAATAATTTTTTTCATTAAAATAAAAAAATGAAAGTTAAAATATTCTAAAAAAAAAAAAATTAATAAATTTATTTTAAAATATATTTTTTTATTTTTCTATAATCAATTTTTTATATAAAAAGTAGTAAAATATTAAATTTTAAGATATATCTTATAATTTAATTATTATTTTTCATAATCAATCTAAATATTTTTTTCATAAAATTTTATTTAATACTTTTACTTAAATATTTTTAAAAATAATATATAAATTCTTTTTAAAATTGATATATTATTTTTGATAAAATATTATAATTAGAATAGTATTATTAAATATATATTTTATTAATAAATAATGAATTGGGGATCTAGCTCAAATGGTAGAGCGCTCGTTTAGCATACGAGAGGCACTGGGATCAATGCCCAGGTTCTCCAAATTTTTATATTAACTTTATAGTTTAAAATTTTTTAAACTATATATAAAATTATTAAAATATAATTTTAAATTAATAATATATATTATATCAAATTTTTATAAACAAAAAAATAGAAATAATTAAAGTTTATAAATTTATAATTTTTAATAATTTTATAAAAAAATAAACTAATATAATATTTATTTTTTTAAATTTAATTAAAAAAAGAATAAAAGATTATATTATAATACATATAAATAAATATAATATATTATTTATATTTCTTTATGCTAACAAAAATAATAAAGAAGGTATTAAAAATGATATCAAAATCTATAATATTATTTATAGGAGTTATATTAATGGAGCCTGGTAGAAATAATTTAAATGAATATATTAAAAGTATTAATAATTAATTATATATATAATTCAAATAATAAATTTATAGGCGTGATTTTTTGTGGGCGTCCAAATTTTATTAATAATTAAAAATATCTCTTAAAAATTTTCAAAATTTTAAATGAGATTTTATGCGTAAGAATTTTTTGAATTTTTAACTTTTTTATTTTTAAGTTAAGTTTTTTTAAGTTGATAAAAATTTAAATTATTTAATTAAAACTTTGTATTAATTTTTTTATCAATTTTTATTTTACAAATATAATTTAAAGTTTTTAATTTATTAAACAATTTTGATTATTCTTAATTTAATTTTTATTTTATTCATTATAATATATTGTTATTTATATTATTAATATGATTTTTTTTTTATATTTTCTTTTTTATAGAATATTATATTTAATTTAAGTTGTTTAAAGTCATATAAATATTGAAATTAAACAATTTGATTTTTAAATTGATAAAAGAATATAAAATTAATAGATAATAATAAAATTAAAATGTTCTTTAATATTTCGTAAGTTTTAGAATACAGAATACATGTACTAAATATATTTATAATGATTTTTAACTTTTTAGAAATAATTTATTATATTTTATATATAATGAAATAAAAATTGTTTTAAAAATATTATTATTACGGCTATATTTATAATTATTAAATTTTCAATATTATAGTTAATAATAATTATACATCAATTTTATTTATTAAAATCAATTATTTATCTATTTAATTCTCTATCATAATAAATAATTTTAAAATTATATATATTTGAAAAATTAATATAAATTATATAATTATTACTTTTAATTATATTTTTTTATAATTATAATATTTTTTGTCTTTTAATTAATTACTTTATTTTTTTGATTATATAATTGCTTAATTAATAATTTTTAAATTTAACTAATATTAGATCACCTTAAATTAATTGAACAGTTATAATTAATATTATTCCTGAATTCATAAAAAAAAAAATATTATTAAAATAGAAAAATAAAAAATTCAAATAATTGTGATTATATTAAATTAATTAAAATAAAATTTAGGATATATATTTAATTTTTTTGGGCAAAAATAAAATATTTAATTAATATTTATTTTTTATTTTTATGGATTTATCAAAAAAAGTCTCTTCAACCCAAAAAGACAGTTAAATTTAATAATAAAAACCGTAAGTTGAAACTTTACCTCATTAAATTTAAAATATTATATTGTAAGAGAATTGTAATAAAGACCAAAAGTAATAGTTTTACAAGTCGACCTTTCTTTAATAATTCATAGGCTTTTGGTAAGGATTGATGAATAAAAGAATTTACTCCTTTTATAAGTTTACTATATAAACAGGAGATATTATTTTATTTTTAATAATAATGGCATTTACTGCCTTAACTATATATTAAGCTATTAATGGAAAAAGCTCAAGTACTACAAATAATACAAATACTACAAACATTACAAACTAAAGAAGACAAAAATCTGAAGATGGTGCTACCAAAACAACTGGAGCAAATGCTTCTATAATGATGAGTATTATTAAGATATTTTTATAATTATTTTTATTTATATATTTTTTTTAAAAAAGCAATATGTATTATATTCGGATGTAGAAACGGAATACTTTCATATATTTTTTCTCTTAGTATCGAAAGGGCTTTACTTTGGCATAAACTTTTAGGTTGGATAACTTTAATAATTAGTGTAATACACTGGATTTCTTCTAAATCAATTGTTTCAGGGTATATATTAATAGCTCCTATAATTGCAATAGTTTTATTATCATTAGAACCTATAAGGAGAAAATTTTGGGAATTTTTCATGAAAATACATTGGATTCTTATTATTACTATGGTTGTTGGAATTGTTGCACATTAATCTACCATATCTTATATTGGATTAGTATTTTATATTATAGATTTAGTTATAAGGTAAATAAAACAAAAAAATTAAAAACTAAATTAATTTTTTTTTTTTTTTTAATGACTATAGATTTTATTATATTTATAAATACAAAAAATAATAAAATAAACTTAATTTAGAAAAAGTAGGAGATAATCTTGTAAGAATATCAATTGATAATGAAAACAATTCAATCTAATATAAAGGAGGATAATTTTTTTTCATTGATTCCTAAATTAGGATATTTTTAATGGCATCCTTTTTCAGTCTTATCAAGTTCTTTTGAAAAATAAATTGTTATTTATGTAAAAGTATTAGGAGATTGGACTTCAAATTTATATACAATAGCTGGAGAATAAGGTAAACCAAACAAGGAAAAAGGATTTTTAGATGGTCCTTATGGAAGTCATTCTATAAATATACATGGTCATAAATATCAACATTTTGTATGTGTTAGTGGAGGAATAGGAGTTACTCCTATTTTAAGTACTGCTAAAGAGATTTTACATGAAATAAAAAAAGGAAGAATAGTTAAAAGCTTATATTTTATTTGGTCTGGAAGAGATGTTTCTATTATTTAAAATTTATTAAAACCTAATGAATTAGAGACAAAAGAAACAGAATTAGTCAAAAGCTTTTATCATTTGACAACTGATAATAAAAATGCTATTAATAAAAATGATATAGAAATGTAAAATATGAGTAATACTTTACTTACTAAATTGGTGTCTGGAAGACCTAATTTAAATAAGTATTTTGAAAATATTTATAATTCGGTATCTAGATCAGATACAAAACATATTGGTGTGTTTGTTTGTGGACCTTCTGCGATTATTAATAAAGTTGAAATATTAGCTTAAAAATGGTCAAAAGATTAAGTTATATATGATGTGCATTAAGAAGTTTTCGAATTTTGAATTTCTTTTTTTATTATTTATTGTAAAAAAATTAATACTTTTAATATATTTTATATATATAAATATTTATTAATTTTAACTTTATAAAATTTAAAATTATTATGATGCAATATTTAAATATATATAAATATAATTAATATTAAAAATAAAAATTAATTTTTTTAAATTAAAAGATACTTTAATATGTTTTATTATTATTTAATTAAAATAAAATTATTAATTAATATATAATTTTATATAAATAATTAAAGCAAATATTTATTCAATAATTATATACTTTTTATTTTAATACATATAAATTTATTATTATTTACATAATCTATATTATATTTATCTATTTTTATTTATTTTTATATTATTTATTAACATTATATTATATGGTTATATTCAATATTTTAATTTTATATTTATATATGGTTCTATTTATTCTAGTAAATATGGATTACCATAAATAAATACTTAGTTTATTACTTCTGAAAGATTTTATTTTACTTAAATTATATATTTCTCTAATACTTATATTTAGTTTTCTAAAACTTGCGTTTAGCTTTCCCTTTTATAAATTTCTTCTTAATTTTTTTTTTATTATTTTTTCAAATTATCTCTTTCAAGTTCTACATTAGATCGAGAAACCTATACAAAAAATACTTTAAACATATAAAATAAAAATTTAAATATATAAATACTGCTTATTTTAGTAACTTATCATTTAATTCTTCTATTTTTTATTATAATTAGTCTAATTTATTTTATTCAAAATTTAAATTATTATCTTATAATTTTAAATTCTCTGCTTTTAAACAATTAATTTATTCTTCCAATTCAGTTATTTGTATTTCTTAAATTTTATATTTATCGTAATTTCTAAAATTTTATTTTTAATTTAAATATTGATTTTATAACGAAGCTATTTCTTAATTTAATTAATGTTAAACATATTAATTTTATTGCTTTAAGAGATCATTAAATTATTCTAATTATAAATTATGTTTTTGCAACTATTGATTTTTTTAAGTTAATTCTTTAATATCTCTAATTTAAAATTCCTATTTTTTAATTTAAATAACTAATAACGCATTTTCTTATATTAATTTTTCTTAGTTCTAAATTAGAATTTTATTTTCTTCTTATAAATATTAAATTTTTTACTCTTATTCAAAATTAGAGAATAAAAATTATTTTTATTAACTTTCGGAAAGATTAGTAATATTGTAATTTTAAAGTAATTTATTTTTAAAAAATTATTTAAATTATTCTTATTATTCTCCGTTTTCGTTTTTAATTTATTAAAAAAAATCTAATTCTTAACTATTTGTTTATTAATAAAATAATTAACTTGGTTCAATTCTTTATTCTTAAATTTCTATATTTGTATTGTTTTATGGTAAAGGAGAAATAAAACCTTTTATTAAGAAAAAAAAAATTAAGAAAACATAATTAAATTTATATACATGATTAGAATTCATATAAATCATTTATTTAATCTTATTAAAAATTATCATTAGTATTAGGTGAGAAATCATTCTTACATGGTAAGTTGCTAATACTTTTTCTTTTATTTTAAAATATCATAATATATAAATGAATCAAAAATAAAAAAAATACATTTGATTAATATAAGAAGTATAATCTCCTATTTCATGGACTCTAATTTCATAAATAAGTTTTGAAAATTAATCAGGACATTTAGAAAGGTTCTTTTATTCTTTTTAACTTTTTATATTCATATTTGCATATTCAGAAATATCTAATTCTATTAACCCTACTAATTTTGAAATTTTCTAATTCCTAATATTAACTTATATTTCGAATTATTTTTCCAAATATCGATTATTTTTTTAATCCCAATATATTTTTACAGGAATAGAAAGTATTTATCCTTCAAGTTAAGCTACTTTATCCTTTAATGGAACTGGATTTTATAATTCTTATTTATGTTTACCTTTTTTATTTTTTTTTATTTTTATTTTTTTTATTACAAAATACCTCTTTTTAAAAGTATTGATATAAAGCAATCTTACAGTGATAAATTAATATAAAATTTATCTAAAATTATATCTATTTAGTAATTTATTTATTTTGTTCCTAATCTTTTTATGTATTTTGACATTTTTTTAAAATTAACAAAGATTTTTTTGATATTTTAATTATAATAATTTATATATCAAATTTAATAAATATCCAAAAACTATTATTTATGTATTTAACGATGTAAATAAAATAATTATAATTAAATAAAATATTTTTAAATAATTATATTAAAATTATCTTAATTTCTTTATATTTTAAATTTCATTTTTTTTTTTTTGTTTAATTAAATTTATAGTATTTTTAATAAACTAAGTTTTTATTCTAATTATTTAAAATAAAAAAATAAACTAAGTTTTTATTATAATTATTTAAAATAAAAAATGTTGAAAATTACTTTTATATCTAAGATTTATTTAAAAAATAAAATATTTAAAATCTTATATAAAAATTTAATAAACTAACAATATAAAAATTATATTTCTTAAAAAAAATATTGTAATAAATTATTTTAATTATATTTAATTTAATATAAAAATAATTAAAACTTTAGACTTTTAATTTAATAGTTACATCTAATCTAAAGTTTTAATACTTTATTTAACTTAATATTATTAATTTTATTCTTCCTTCATAGGTTAGAATAAAATCTACACAAAATCATTAAATTATTTATTTTAAATATTTTTTTTATTTAAGAGCTTTTTTTAATTTTATCTTTATATCTAAATATATAATATTAATTTACTTTTTATGTCAACCTTAAACTTTATTTCAGAAAATAATTATTTTTCAAAGTATATTTTCAGATTATCACCCAAATAATAATAGTTTTTAATTATATCATAACTCCAAACATTAACTATATTCTAAAATATTTCTAAAATTGTTTCTTATCAACTTATTAAATATGATATTTTGTTTTTCTTCAATTAATTAAAAAAAAGATATATATTAGAATAATAAAAATTAATTTCGATTTAAACAATAAAACTTTATTTGATTATAAAAAAAATTATATAATAAATTATACATAATAATATAAAAATAATTATTTTCAAAAGAAATATTATATAAATTATAATAATTATATTATTAATTATAAAAAAAATCATTTTATATATTAATAATATTTTTTTTTATTTTTTTTAATGTATTTTTCTTCTAAATTTATTTAAAAAAATAATCATTTACTTTTCTTTTTTGTTTTGTTTAAAAAGAATAAAAATAGCATAATAAATTTATATATTAACTCAATTATTTAATAAAAATTAAAATTTGAGTCGCATATTAATAAGATAATATGTAATTTATAATATTAATTAATATAAATATGGATATAAATTTAATGCTCTTTTTTAGCCACAAATATGAAATTATTTGAATAATAAATAAATTCTTTTAAATATTATTTATTTATTAAAAAAAAAATTAATAAAAAATATAACATTTATTTGTTTTATAATTATATTTTTTTTTATTGTTAATTATTATCAAATATATTTCATTATAAATTAAATAATAATTTTTTAAAAAAATTTATGATTTAATAATATATAAAAATTAAATATGTCATATTTATTTCATTATCCAACAATATCGCATCTTGTTGTCTCAGCAATATCTGCACATTTTTTAATTAAATCTTACTAAATACCCATTTCACACATTATTTATCCTATATGTTATATGACAATATTAAATTCTTCATCAGTAATCCCCATTCCTCTATGTGTATCTCTCATAGTTTTTCCTTTATAACTACATAATAATATTTTAAATTTTATTTAAATAATAAAACCAAATAGAAATTATAATATAATTAAGATAAATGTAAAAAAAAAAATACTTATTCGGTCCCCCAAAACACATTGTAAGGAAATCACATTATTATTTGATTTAGTGATTAATATCAGTATTAACAAAAAAATGTTTAATTTTATTATCAGCAAGAATTTTGTCGTAAAGTTATTTAGAAAGGGCTTCCAAACTTTTTTATCCACCTAATTATTCATAAATAGATTTTGCAGGGCAAGTTTACATTATTTTAAAATAAATTGTTTTAATTTTAATTTGTAAATATAATAATAACTTAATTTTATTTAATTTTTTTTTTATATTATGTGAAAACTTTTTATTAATGAAAATATATCATGAATTTTTTATTTTATACATATTTGGTTTAAAATTAAATTTAATTTAAAAAAAATAAATATTTATTTTATTTATTTGTTTTGTCAAAAAAATAAGTATGTAAGGTAAAAATATGGGTTTAATTATTAAAAATAAAATTTAAATATTATAATAGTCTGATATATATATTCATTTTAAAAAATATTAATATAATATATATTTATTTATCCTTAAAATATTTTCCAATATAATTTAAAAGAATTTAATTTTAATTAGAAAATTCTATATATAATATAGCTTTATTTTTCATTTTTTTCAAAAAAAATTAAAAAATTAATAAACAAAGTGATTTGAAAATATTTGCAAATAAAATTTATTAAAATAAAGAAGCTATATAAAATGTAAATTTTCGACATTTTAAATATTTTAAATATTATGTAAAATTTATAAAAAAATATTTTATACCTAATTAATTAATGAAATTAATTAATATAATATAATTAAAATTTATAGAAAAAAATATTTCTACATAAAATATATATTTATAAAAAAATTGTTATGAAAATATGTGAATCTATAATTTTTATATATTATTTTTTTAATTTAAAAATTAAAAATATTAAAAATAAAGAATTAACTATATTTTAATCTAATTAAATATATTTAAAATATATTTTATATTTATTAAAATTATTTTTATTATTTATTATTTATTATTATTTATTATTATTTATTTTATTTTATATTTTATATATTATGTAAATATTTTTTTTTTTTTTTATTCTTTAATATTTTTATTTTTATACTTTTTTTATATTTATTTTATTTTATATTTAATTTATTAAATTTATCTATTTAATTTTATTTAATAATTATTTTTTAATTCAATATTTTTAAAAATTAATATATATTTTATTTTTATAATTAAAATATACTTATAAAATTTATATAATTTTAATGCTATTTTTAATTATAAGGATTGTTACTTTAATTTAATTGTTGATAAATTATTTTTCTATTTGTTTATATATAGTTAAAAAATGTTTTTATTTTTATTAAAATAAAAATTAATATTAATATTTTTTGTATATCAAGTTTTCAATATATATAATTTAATTTTATTAATATAATAATTTAACAATAAATGTTTATATTATATTATTTCTTTTTAATTTAATATTTTATTTTATATTTATTTAATTGATTTTATATATTTTTACTAATTGTAATGTAAAAATATATTTTATAAATTATACTTTTATAATATTATTGATATTATATTTTATATATATAAAATTATAATAATACATAAAAGAATTTTTTTTTTAATATTTATATAATTTTTTTTTATATTTATTATTTTATCAAAAAATTATTTTTATTAAATAGATATATTAATATTATTTTTAATATTTATCAAAAAAGAGTTAATTAAATCATTTTATTTATTTTTTATTTTATAAAAATAGAATATTTTTTAATTTTTTTTTAATATTAAAAAATAATCATAAAATTTTATATAATTTAAAGTTTTTGTAGATATATAAAAAATAAAAACTTAACTTTTTCATTTTTAACAAAAATGTTTTTTAGAAAATTTGCATATTTAATAGGTTTTTAAATAAACAAAAAAATATATTTACATAAATAAAAAAAAATCAAAAATAGGTATTTAAAACAAAAATAAACTCAGAGGCCTATTAACTTCTTTAACTCTTTATATAGTTCATTAAAATAAAATTAAAAATTCTAAAAATGAACAGTAAATAGAAAAAAACTATTTTGTTTGCAAGTAAATATATATTATTATATATATATATAAAGAAAATAAATATTATATAAAAAAAAGTAAACAAATTTTTTTAAAAAAGTGCTAAAAGTATACCTCATCCAGAAAAAGAATTTAAAGGAGGAGAAGATGCTCATTTTATTGATAAAAAGTAAAATTTCTTTTTTTTAAAAAATAACTTAGTAAATAGCTAATTATTTTTTAAAAAGTTTAATTGCAGTAGCTGATGGCGTTGGAGAATGGGCTGATTATGGAATTGACCCAGCTATATATAGTAGAAATTTAGTTAAAAAGTAAAAAAAAAAAAATAGTAATAAATAATTTATTTTATAAAAAATGAATAAAAAAGTGTTGAATAAATATATAAATCTAATGTGCTAAAATATTTATCTAATCCAAAACTTTTATTAATAGATTCTGCATCAACAAGTACAAATATATTAGGATCTAGGTATATAAAATATATATATATATATATATATATATATATATATATATATATATATAAATATATATATTTCTATATTTTTTATAATTTTTTTTAAAAATAGTACTCTTGTATTAATAACAATGGATAAAAACTAAAATATATTAAAGTCTTCATATATAGGAGATTCAGGATATTGTATATTTAGAATAGATGAAGATAAAAATCCTCAATTAATATATTTATTTGAAGAACAACAAAGATCTTTTAACTTTCCTTTACAAATAGGAGGCTAAGGTTTTGGAGATTCCCCGAAATAAGCAATTGAATAATAGCATGAAGTCAATAATAATGATTTGATAATTGTAGGTTCAGATGGTCTTTTTGATAATTTATATGCTGAAGATATACAAGAAATTATTAAAGAAAACTTAAGTAAACATAAATTTATTGATACATAAAAGTTGGCTTCATAAATAGCCGAAAAAGCAAAATATTATTCTTTAAAATCATTTTATTATTCCCCATTTTCGTAAAAAGCTAAATTAGCAAACTAAATCATTTGGGGAGGAAAATCAGACGATATAACAGTAGTAGTAGGACAAATAAAATTAAAACAATAATGAAAACTAGAATTAAAACAATAATTAAAAAATAAAGTATATTAAGAATAATATAATTTATATATATTTGTAAAAAAAAAAAAAGTAAAAAATTATCCACAAAAAAAATATAAATATATAAGGTATATATATATCTATAAATAAAATAAAATTTTTTCAACTACTTCTTAATTTAAGTATAAATCTTGAAATCTAAGGTAATTCATGTATATTTTTTTAATTAATAATCATATGATCAACTGCAAAAACAGTCTAATTATTCAAAAACTTTAATTCTTCCTATCTTAATTCTTTTAATTAAAAAACGCCTTTTTTAATTTAATTTGAAAACTCTACTAAAGTACTATCTACAGAAAAATGACTCAAAATCAAATTCTTAACTTTTTATTAAAAGCTAAACGATATAACTTCATTTAAATACGAATGTTTATTTTTATAAGCTTTTTTTATTTATTTATTTGAATAAGTACATTCATGGATTAGTATATCTGCATTTTCAAATAATTTTCTATGTTAATATTAAGGTCTACAATCTCCTGTATAGATTATTTTTTGACCATTTTTTGTTTATATAATTATCCCTTTGGACATTTCACAATGTGCAGTTTCGAAAAGTGAGATTTTTTCTAAATTTATTGTTTTAAAAAATTATGAAAAATCCATATTTTTTAAATTATTGGGTATTTATATTCGTCATTTTAGTATTTTATAATATCATCTTCGGATGTTTTTTGGATTTCCTATGTTTCTATTCTTTAATGCACTTCGAAATTTTCATGAAAGAGGAATTTCGCATTAAAATCTTACATATTTTTTTAATATTCATTCAAATAAATATATATATTCTAAGGTATAATAACATATAAAGGTTCTTCTTTTATTCCTAAATAATATTCTTTTTTAGAGAGAAAATTTAAAAGTCCTCCATGATGATCAGTATGGAAATGTGAAATATAAATAAATTTTATTTTTTTTAAAATATTTCTGATTTCCTTTGGATCGAAATTACATTACTTCTCAATTTGGTAAAAGGTAGAATCCCCGCAATCTAAAAGAATACTATTTTTTTAATCTATATTTAATATATAACCACTTACATTTCTATAAGCAAAACATTTCTAACTCATACTTCCTAAAACAATTATTTCTGGAAAAACATCAATATAATTATCCTCTTTTAATTAATAATAGTAATTCAATTGTTATTTTTGAGTCCAATTTTCCTTATTATAAGTTGCATCTATGAAAACTTCTTAAAAATTAATTTAATGTTGGTATTTTAAAACTAGTTAATCAAATAAATTATACAAATGGATATTTTATTAATAAAAAGGAGCATTTTCTAATGGAAAATTATTTAGATTTTTCGAACTATGCCATATATAATTGTGCAAACTTACTTTTTATGGAAAACATAGAGGCAATTTTTTGGATAAATATTTTAATAAAAGTGCATGTTTAAAGTATATATTTTAATTTTTTATTTCTTTATTTTTTTCAAAATACCCTGAACAAAAGATATAGTGTTAAATTTTTTAATCTATTTATTTCATAAAATGTGTAAAAATAGAACTCTCGAGTATATATTTGGGGCTCAAATGCAATATAAAAGACACTTTTTAGAATTTATTTTCTAAAAAATATGAACTTTTTTAGAAAATTTTAAACTCTTATTCTGTTTAAAAATCGAGAATTAAAAAAGAGCATAATTCTTATTCTTAATCTGCCTATATCAGATAATCTTTTAATTAGAAAACACTATTGTTTATTTAAACTTCGCCTTATTCAACTAACTTTTTTCTTAATTAATTTTAAGGAATATCATTTTCGATTTTTTCTTTGTTGTATTTATTTAAATTTTTTAATTATATATGGTATTAAATAATCGTTTTTTTATCATTTATTTTTAATTTTATTGGAATTATTTGTACACAAGAATCATTATAAATTCCATTTTCATCTAAATATTAAACTGCATTATAAAAAGTGGTTTTTTCAGAATCCTTTTGCATTTTATTTTATATTTCCTCATATTTAATATTATTATAATCTGGTAAATATTCCTAAAACTATTTTTAATTCTAAAAAGCAAAAGTATTTAGTTGTTTATTTTCTAAAGAAATAGAACTTATCCACATATATTTAGCCCCTAAACAATATTTATAATACCTAAGGTAGTGAAAAAATTATGTGGGGCAAAAAATCATAATATTAAATAAATCTTTTTAAAAGTTTAAATTCTAAATTAAGCTTAATAATCCAGTAGTCCTATTTAAATTATCTTATGTATAAAATATTCTATATCCGGTTTTTTAATGAAAATCTGTTTTATGAAAAGGCCAGTCTTTATGAATATTTTCAGGTGTATTTATCATATATATATATTATTATTCTAAAGATGTATTTATCCGAAAATATAATGTAGGAATTTATTAAAAATCGCTATTTTTATAAGCTCTTATATGAAGCATTTTCTTCATTTTATTTTTATATTTAGAAAAAAAAAAATGTTAAATATATATATTATTTTTTTATAAATATAAAAATTAAATATAAATGTATTTTAATAAAATTAATAAAAAAGATTTGTATCATTTATAATTATTTTATTATTAAAAATTAGTTTTATATTATTTATAATTATTATTATTTTAATTTTTTTATTATTCCTATTTATATTCATTCGATAACTCATTATTATGGTTACTAGCACTAATACTGATTACTCTTTATATATAACCATTATTATGATAATCTTATTTTTTTTAAAATAAATTACTTAAACTATATCTATTATTATCTAAACTCGATCTAATATTACTTAAATTCTATCTATTATTAGAAATATTCTATTTATAATTATTATTATTATTTATATATTAATTTAGTTTTTTAAAATTATCTTTTTAATATTCTTTATTTAAATTTTAACTTGTAACCTCACAAAAACTATTTTTTTATTAAATTTCAAACTAACTAATTTCATTTTCTATTTTTTATATATAATTTTATAAAGAAATATTTTTATTCTCCTTTTCAGTAATTCTCTTTTATAATATTTCTATATATTCCTTCATTTTATTTATTTTTTCTTCCTTAAATTTCACATTTTAATAAAAAATTCTTATTTCTTTCTCTTTTAGTCTGAAATTTATTTAATTTAATTTCATCAAATCTTATACACTTGGCCTCAATTCTTGATTTACATTAAGCATTTATAATATTAATTGTTATAAATCTTCCGAATATTAAAAAGGAATTCTATCAAAGCTCCCTCCCTTTATCTTTATAGCTAATGCAAGATGATTATTAGCCTAAAAAGGATGTTTAAGACCTGCCATTTCATACAAAAGGCACCCTAAGCTCCAAATATCGCTTTTTTCGTTATATTAGCTCTCCTGAATCTATTCCGGAGACATGTAATATGGTGTCCCTACATGTGTTTCTGCAAATTGAGAGTTTTCTCCAAGTATTCTGCTTAAACCAAAATCACCTAATTTAATATTATTCTATGAATCTAAAAATATATTAGCAGGTTTAAGGTCTCTGTGCAGTATTTTATTTTTTTGGCGATTATGACATTCATTCAAAGCGAAAATTATTTAAGTGAATATTTTCCAAATAGCATCTTCTTTTATAAAATCGTTTGTTTTTTTGCATTTTTTTAATAATGTATTTAAATCTCCTCCCTCACAATATTCCATTATTATATGTATTTTTTTTTCTTTTTTATCTATTATTCTTTTTTTTTTATTTATTTATTCTTTTTTTTAAAAAAAAACCTGTCATAATATTTGACTATATTTGGATGATTTAATTCACGTATTATATTTACTTCTTATACCAATTGTTGTTTTTCACCTTCTGACATTTTACCATAGTTTATTTCTTTTGATACTAAAATTTTATTGTCTTGTATTCGTTTAACTTTTTGAACTATTCCAAAACTTCCTTTACCAATTTATTGTATTATTTGATAGTTTTCCATATATTTTTTATTTTTTTTATACTTTTTATTTTTAATATTTTTTAGTTTTTTGTTTATTTTTAATTTATATATAAAAATAATTCTATTTAAATATTTGTAAAAACAATATAAATTATATATTTACTATATAGTTTTTCAAAAAATAAATCATCTAAAAATATTTACATATTTTTTAACAAAATTCCCTTTAATATATTATTAAATCTAAAAAAAAAAAATCAGAGAAATAAAAATTAATTTTTATATATAGACAAACACTTATGCATTAAATATATAATAAAATAAATATTTTAGTTCAAATAACTTTTCATTAAAAAATAACAAAATTTATTTTAGAAAGTTTAAAAGCTAAATATAAAAATATATCTAAACTTTATTATATATCAAAGCCAAAAATTTACTGTATATAATTCATACCATAATTAGACATTTAGTTATAAATAAAAATCAAGTCCTCAACATCTTTAGCCGCATATTGTAAATAATCAATATTCAAAGGTCTTTCACACATAAACTTTTGACAATTTTCCTCATTATTAAATATATCATGTACTTTTTCTTTTAAAGTATTAATCCCATTAGGCGCTTTATATGAATTTAAAATAATATTAATTCCAACTTATTAATATTAATGAAAATTTTGTTCTTGTTGATTATATTTATTTAATTATAAAATAATATTATGTATAACTTATGTATCGAATACTTTTGTTAAACGAATTTTAAATTAAGAAAAAAGAGCTAAACTATCTCTTCTGCAATCATGAAAAATTTTAACGACTTTTTTGTTTTCAAAAATATATATTTTTAAAAATTAAATAATTTCATTTAATAAATGATTATTTTTCTATAAAATCTAAATATCGAATATATATATATTGCCTTAAAAAGAACTCAATTAAATTAGGTTAATATCGGCTTTTTTATTTAATTTCCCTTCCAAATCTACTCCAAAAACCATATAATTATCACTATTTGAAAAAAAAAACTCATTTTTATATATTTCATAATTTTATTAAGAATCAATAATTAATATTTTAGTATTTTAAAAAGAATGAATTATTTAATTTTATTTGTAAAAAAAGTCATTTTAGTTTATTTTATTTCTTAGCTTTATTTTTTCTTGAATATAATTACTCGAATTTCCTATTAAAAATAAAATATATTAACCATTAATATTAAATAAGAATTTTTTATTCAAAAAGATTTATTTTTGTTAAAAACTTTAAATTATAAATTATTTTAATTTATTTAAATTTCCATATTATTTGTATTCTTAAAAAAATCTTTTATTTATTTTTTCCATAAATTAATCTAATCCAACCAAAAATTAATTTTTATCTAAGAAAAAAATATAAATATCCGAAAAAATATCTTAACTAAATTTTAAAAAACAAATTTCTTATTTAAAATTGTCTCCATTTTTCAATTATTAAAAATCTCCTTTTTTCGAAAAAACCTCGGAAATTAATTCTCTTACATTTTTCTTAAAAACCCTCAAAATAACATGCAAATCCGGAAAAAAAGGAACTTTTAAATTATAGGCTTTTTTCATCAAAATCTATTCATCAGAGTTCCTTTTGACATCCCAAACATCAAAAAACCTCATGTAGACGTCTAAAACTTCCTCATATGAAGGAAACCATAAAATAATTGAAATTTTTTGTAATCTAGGTGGTATAATAGCCTTATAAACAAAATATCTGCTAACTAAATTATCTAAAATATCCTAAAAGTTTTATTAAAATCCAGTTTTTTTAAACCCAACTCTAACAAATTCTCTTTATACGAAACTTAAAGTAAAAATAACATTTTTTCCATATACTTTAAACAAAACATCCATAAAATCCACTATGATATCATTCCGCATAATTTTAATTATTTTTTCTCTAACATTCTTTTCTTTATTTAATACCTATAAACTTTCGATTTAATCCAAAAGCCCTTTTTTCTATAAATTTTCTTATTCTCTATATAAATATAAATATGTTTTAAGATTTCTAATACATTTTTAATCAATAAATTCTTCATAATCTAATGAAAATAAATATATATAAATTAATATAATTTATATATATTTTTTGTTACTTTCATCATATATATATTCAGTATATTTTTCATAAATTAAATCATCTATACTATGTGCATAATTGCATTAATTTTTTTAAAAAACACAAAATCCTTTTAGCCAATATCCACAAATTTTTCTTTTTCTATTTTTTAGAATTTTATCTGAATTTTCTTCTATAAACTTAACAATTAAAGGATTTATATTATTTTCGTTTTCTTCTTCTTTATCTTATTCAACTTCTTTTTTTTAATATTTCTTCAAAAACTAAAAGACACTTATTTTTTATGTTTACAAAAATAAATAAAGTTACGGCTAAAAATCTTCATAATTTTAAATTTTCCTGACCTAATCTAAAATCTCTTATTCTTCGAAAAATTCTTTTTATTCACTTTTTTCCTACTTTAAATTTTCATAAGCTTCCTAAATTAATATTAAAAAATACTTAACTATATTGAATTCCCTATCTTTAACCACTAAACAATTAGCATATCCATAAACTCTGGGAGGAATAACTAATCTAGTTTAATAACATAAATTTTCTATTAAATACTGACTTATTCTACATGGTTTTACACTAAAACCTAACGCATCAGCTCCCACACCTATTCTAACGAATTCTTTGACCAAAAAGTCCTCTGTGAGTATAATATTGGAGTAGTATTATCTTAGTTTAAGGTAAAAATCTTCATATAATTTCGTTCTTAAATATTATCGGAGAATTAGTCGTACATCTTTTTTATTGTTTATATCCTTAAAAGTTAACTCTTATCGAATTTCTTTAATATTATATAGTAAATGAAAATGGTATAAATGGATGTAATTTTTAAGCTTTCAGTCGTATTTGAAATCTATTTTTAAATAATTAGTAAATGCATTATATGAAAAATCGCCTTTTATGTAATTTAAATCGTCAATTCCATGTGCATGAATACAGTCTGATGCTTTAAAAATGCAAAATCCACACATCCAATGGGAACATATGAATTTTTTTTTGTATTAATAGTTTTAGGTTAGGCATTTTTTGTATCTATCGAGCTTTTATGATGATAATAAGGCTATTTAATTATATAATAGGTTATTTATTTGGTTTTTTATTGTATTTGTTTGGTCATATGAAAGTTTTTTCTTGTATAAAGAGTCTATACAGTTATAGTTTTACGGAATATTATAATAGTCTAACATTTTTTTTTATATGATATTTTTTTTTTTAAAAAAAAAAAATATTAATTAGTAAAAGTAAACATATATTTATTTATTTAAAAAAATGTCGAAAATAATTCCTTATATTTTTTTTTTATATATATAAAAGAATAGAATTTGAAAAACATTTTCATATTTTTTTTAATAAAAAAGATACTTTTATTGATTGTTTCTTTATGAGTAATTCATTATGTAAATTACATATATTTATATAAAGATAATGTAAACTTTTATTATCTTAATATAATAAATATAAATATTTGAAATTAAAATTAATTTTATAAAACAAATAATAATATAAATATACAATATTTTTTTTTAACAAGATATTTAAAAATTTTATATATTTTATATATATATTTATGTATATATTTATTATTATAATCAAATAATTTATAAATAAAAAAAAAACTTTAAATATATATATATATAAAAAAAATATATTACAATGTCTCGTGGAGAACAAATAGAAATCGATTTAGGTGAAGCATAAGGCATTAATATTTTATAATTTAATCATGATCTTGTTAATGGCACATTAGTATGTTGGAAGCATTGCTAAAAAACAAACAGTAAATAAAAAGATGAAGATAAATTTAAAGCATGTTTATGTAAAAAAAAATAATTAAATTATATAATAATTAATATATTTAAAAAACTAAAAATAAAATAAAGAAAATTGTGGTGGAAATTTCGCTCTTGCAAATATGGTAAAAGAGAGATTTTACAACAATTTGGCTTAATAATAATTTTTATGATTAATATTAATTAATATTAATCTTTATATTTTTTTATTTTTTATTTTTAGTTTAAAATAAAAGAAATATAAGAAACTATTGCATATTTAATTTTTATGTATTTTATTTTTTATAAATAATATTTTTATTTATAATAATAAGATTTATATTAAAATATATTTATAAGAATTTTTTATATATATAAATAAATTACTTATTTTTATATTAGAATCAATATATTTTTTTTTTTCTTATTCTTTTAATATTTTAAAATTTTAGTAATAATTTTTATTTTAATAATTATTTTTTAGTAAATTTTAAATACATTAATTAAGTAAATTTTAAATGTATTTTCTGTTTTATAGTTAAATAAAAATGTATTAAAAATATAGAAATATACTGTAATTTCATTTATTTAATTATTTTCTTATATTTCTTTTAATATAATTTTTATAAAAAAATATTAATTATTTCATTATATTTTTCTATATAAATATCTAAATAAACTATTTATTTAATATAAAAAATATAAAACTTATCAAAATTTTTATATGGAATAAATTTAAAATTATCATTTTTAACTTTTTTGTTATTTTATTTAAAATTAATATATATTTATTTTTATATAAGAAAAATTTAACTAAAAATAAAAAATGTTAAATTTATTAAAAAAATAAAAAATTTAATAAATTATACATATTAAATTTTAAAATATTTATATAAATAAAATTTCTAATTTAAAAAAAATAAAACTTATTAAAAAAAATAACAAAAAAATAGACTTATAAAATTATGATAATTAAAAGAAATTTAGATTAAGATAAAAAGTCAAAGAATTATATAAGAATATATAAATTAAAAAAAAAAAATATATAAAAATAATTATAAATTAAAATAAAAAAAAAAGTTTATAAATAAAAAATAATTATAAAATAAACAAAAATATAAAAATATAATATAAATTTGTGATAAAATAAAAAAAATAATATAAGAAAAATTATAATATACAAAAGTAATAATAAAAAAAAACAAAAATTTTTATAAAAAATTGTTAAAAAAAAATAATTATAAAAAAAAATAATAATAAATAAAAAAAATATTAAATAATAACAAAATAAATAATATTAAAATAAAAATAAAAATTATAAAAAATATAATAATAATAAAAATAATAAAAATAATAAAAATAATAATAATAATAATAATAATAATAATAATAATAATAATAAAAATAATAATAATAAACTTAATAATTTTTATATTAATGTATAAATGATTTAATTTTTTTATTATTATAAATCTTATTTTAATAAAATTAAAAACAAATAAAAATTATTTGAATAATAATATAAAATATATAAATTTAATTTATTAATAAATTTTAAAAATATATATTTTTTCATTAAAAATATATATTTATAAATTTAATATACTAAAAATAAATATTACTATTAAATAAAGTTTATAAATTATTATTAAAATTTTTTTCTTTTAAAATATAATATATTATTTTAAATAAATTTTATTAATATTTTTATATAAAATTAAATATATGTATAAATATATATATAAATATTGATTATATATGTTTATTTAAAATTTTATATTATAAATTTTATTTCAACTATAATATAAAAAAACTAAATTTAATAATAATAATATAATACATAATATTAAAAATTTTAGATGACTAAAGTATAAAATAAATTTTAAAATATATTAATATTAATTATTATTAAAAAGTTACATTTTTTAAAACTTATACATATTATTAATAAAATAGTCAAAATTTATATGTTTTTCTTTATAAGATTTATTAGACATATTTGATAAGTATAAAATTTATAAACTACAACAATAATAATAAAAACTTATTGTTTATTAAACTAAGAGTAAATTTTATTCTTTATAATTTTTTTAAATTATTTTACTAAAAATAATTATTTTTATATAGGTATCTTTTTATAAAACAATTATGGTTATTTAAAACTCATTAACATATATTTAATATTGAGAAAATATTTATTAGCTTAGTTTATGAAAGAATTATCGCCAAGTAGTTATTAAAAGAAAATAATAAGGGCGATAATAATTTTAAAGTAATAGAAAAAAAAAAAAAACATGATTTCCATTAGAAATATTATTTACGGTTTACAATTTTTTTGTTTTTAATTAAAAATATACAGTAATATAAATTTCTTAGATTTAAAGTTAAACTATAGATAATTAAAGAAAAATATTCTATGTATTAATTTTTATTGAAAAATTATAATATAGTTTTTTATTTGATTAGTGTTTATCTATATATATATATATATATATATTTTAATATATATTAATTTTTATCATTGTTTTTTTGTTTATTATGATTTTTATTTTATCATGGTTTTTTTGTTTATTATGATTTTTATTTTTAAAACTCTATTATAAAAAAATGTTAGAGCAAAAAATATAATCTGAGATATTTTTTCTTTAATTGAATTGAGTTTTTAAAAATAAAAAAATACATGCTAAATAAGTATTATATTTATATGTATATATTTTTATATATAAAAATATAAAATATTAATAATAATTATAATGGAATATTATAAATTTTTATAAATTCAAATATTCCTCAAGTAATTATAAGTTATTTTCATCAATTTTAAATAAAAAAACATCAAAAATAATAAAAAATAAAAATATATATATTCTTATAAGAAGCCAAACTATACCAAAAAATAAGAAAATAATAATAAAAGTTATTATTAACTTTTAGATTTTTTAGTCATAATTATATTATACAATTAAAAAGAAATAAAAAAAAACTTTAAAAATAATAATATATAAAATTTCTGTAATATTATTATTTAATAATACAAACGCATACCATTATAATAATAGTTTAGATACAGTATAGCTAAATTATATATTTGGAATTTGAACTAAGATTATTATGATTATTAAAATATTTAATAGTGATAAGATTAATTTTAATTTAAATAAAAATTATATTTTTATAAATAAAAATATTATATAAATAAAAATATGTTTTTATTTTATTTTGTTTTTTTCGCATTTTTTGTTTTTTGTTTTTATTAAAAAATAAATAACTTTTTTTGTTAAAAATATCTTTTTATTTGATAAAATATCAAATAATATTTTATAATTATTCATAATGATTTATTTAATATTATTATTTCTAATTTTTCTACAATTAATCTTCATTAGAATTATCAAGTTCATTTAATTAATTTTTATTTTTATTTTTTTTAAAAAAATTGATCTAAGCATGATTATTTTGATCTGAAGTTTTTAAAAAAGACAAAGGATTATCAAAAACATCATAAAATTTCGTATTTTAGATATAAAATTATTTATTAAAATCTTTATAATCATTTTAAAATTATAGATTTGAAAACAAAGGTTTATTATTATCTTAAGTATTTTATTATTCTTTGTTATTATTTATGTATGGTAATTCATTTTATTACAACTTTTATTACTATTATTAAAAATTATTCGCGATAATTTAAGGAAATAAAGATTTTTTTTAATTATCATTATTAATATTATTAAATAAAATTTCAATTTATCTATTTATTTCTTTATCAATTATTAATAATTCTGTTTTTTAGAATTCTTCTTTCGAAACACAAAAATTTTATAAAGAAATAAACTTTTAATAGTTATTGCTACTTTAAATAAATTTTACATAAATTTAATAAAACTTCAAAAAATCTTCTTTTTAATCGAATTCTTTATATTTATCTATACCAAATTGTATATATAAGCGTATAATATCATATATTTTTGACAAATTTTGTGAAATTAATGCATATATTAAATGTCCGGGCTGATTTTCTGGAAATTTAGTTAATGAAAGTTCAAAATCTTTGTATAATTAATTCGAAAAATCAAATATTTTTAATAATTAGTTTAGTTTTTAGTTTTCCTTTATTATTATTTTCACGCAATTAATATTTATGGCTGATAAAAATTACATATTAGGTATATTTTCAGTTAAATTAATTATATAATTATAATATCTAAATAGCATTCCTGTATGAATATAAGTACATAAATCATTAGTTCTTACTTCTTATTAAATTTAGTGTTTTAATATGCTAATATCATTTAAATAATATAATATTTTTAAAGGGTTTTTATTCAAAATAAAATGAATAACCATTAATAGTTTCAAATATTTTCGCCATTTTAATATATCAAATTAATTTAATTTATTCATTAAATATTAAGCAGCTTCTTCAGGCGTAGTTTTTTCATTTAAACCATAAAAAGTTTTCAAAATTAAATCAAAATTATGAACTTTTGGTATTGTAAAATCAGAATTCCATATAATTTTTATTATTGATTGCTAATATAAAGTTTTATTTATTAATTTTAGTTATTTTTTTATTGAATTCATATATATTATTATTATTTATAAATTTAAGAATTTTGCTTTGTTTTGGTTTTATTATTTATACATATGATACAAAATATAATATTTTTATTTAAAAAAAGATTAATTGAAAAAAAACAAAAAAAACAAAAAAACAAAAAAACAAAAAAATATTATTTCTGTACTTTATATATATTTTCTATTAATAGAATTTAAAAATTATTTATTTTAAAATGCAATTAATTTTTTATTTTTATTAAATTTTTATTATTAATATATTCTCTATTAAATGGAAAATATTAATAATAGTGCAACTTCAACCACAAGTTTATAATTATAAGACAATGAAGAAAAAATAGAAGAAAATAAATAAATTTAAAGAAATAAAGAAACATCATTTTTGATTTAAAGAGATTAAAAGAAAAAAATATAAAAGATAAATTTAAAAGTACATTTTTTTTTATTTTTATTTTTTCAGAAATAGAGATAATATTAAATTTTTAATTATCATTAATTATAGAAGACTTTTTCACAAATAAAGTTTAAACATTCACATAACTAAGTTATAATCATTTTGATAGTGGTATTATGAATTAATAGAAATTTTCTACCTTATAAAATATTCCTATGAAACATGATAATTAATTTTAAAGAAATTCGATTTTCATGCATGTTTCTAGTGATGATTTGTTAGAAATAGACGAATTTTAAGAAAATATATTCAAAATAAAACCTTAAAACAATCTAAGAATAGAATAAATTTATGAAATAAAAGAAAAATTAGGTGAAGGATCGATTGGTTTAGTAAAAAAGGCAAAAAGAATAGAAGATAAAAAAGAATTTGCAATAAAAATAATTCGAACAAGAGATAAAGAAACAATAGTCAATGTATATAAATAAATATATGTGCAAATATTTTAAAAAAATAAAAAAATAGATAAAAAAAGAATTTCTCAACTTAAAAAAATTAGATCATTAAAATATTGTAAAAATGTACGAATTATATATAGATAAAACTAATGGATGTATTTATACAGTTATGGAATTAATTAAAGGTTAAGAAATTTTTGAAACCATAAGAAAATCAGGATATTATTCTGGTTTGTAAAATAAAAATAATATTTCATAAATTAAAAAAAATATATATATATATTTATATTTATTAAAAATTTTTATTTTTAGTAAAAAAAATTTATTAATTTTTCTCATATTAAATTAGAAAAAACTGCCAAAATAATATTCTAATAAATAATAGAAGCAATATAATATATGCACAGTAAATCTATATGCCATAGAGATTTAAAACTTAATAATATTTTGTGCGATGAAGGTTTAAAAATATATATATATATATATAAATAAATATATATATATATATATTTATATTATATATTTTATTTTC